TGGCCCCTATAATAACGCCGTGCCCCGGCTCGGGCTCTCCCTCTCCCCATCAGCCTCAGAGATGAGTCTCCCCGTCCCCGCCGAGGGGCTCGGGGGGGTAAAACCGGAGCCGGGGCACGTCCTGGCGCTGGGGCTCTGACCTCCGGTGGGAAGCGTGGACTTGAGCCAGCTCTGGTGCTGCTGGCCGGTGGGACGCGGGGAGCATCGGCTCCGTGATAAGTGCTTGCCGGTCCCGTTCCCGGCTGCCCCAGTGCGATATTCGCCCTACGGAGAGCTGTCTTTCTGCTTTCAGGAATAAGTACTCGGCTCCCGGCAGCGTCGCCGTCATGGGGAAGGACTATTATAAGATTTTGGGCATCCAGTCCGGCGCCAACGAGGATGAAATCAAGAAAGCCTATCGAAAAATGGCCCTGAAGTATCACCCCGATAAGAATAAAGACCCCAGTGCCGAGGAGAAGTTCAAGGAGATCGCGGAGGCTTACGATGTCCTGAGCGACCCCAAGAAACGAGCCGTTTACGACCAGTACGGGGAGGAAGGTAAGGGGACGAGCGCTGCCCGCTCAGAGGTGGGGGTGCTGGGTCCAAGTTGGTTTTTATAGGCAAGGGAGTGTTTTTGCACGGAGTTGTCCCCGTGGTTCATGCCTGCCCCTGAAACGGGGCTGGTAGCCGCAGAACCGGGGAGAGCAAAGGCTCCGCGGGTGCCAGAAATCGCCTCTCATCCCGCTCCTCCCCGGGCTGCTCCACGTTTCCAGCCCGCCGGCCTGCTTCCTGGGATGGCCGGGCTCTCCCTGCCCTCTGCCCCAGAACCCCGGCAGCCGGCTGAGACGATGGAAGTGGAAGGAGCTCACCTCCTGGGTCACAGTGGGGGTAATTCGTTAGCAGCCCTTTAATTGACCTACATATCCCAGCGGAGGAGGGATTTTTGCCCTTTTCCCCACATTCCCCCCCGCATTTGGGCGCCGGTCCCGCTGTCCTCCCTGGTGCAGGCTGACCTACAGGATTCAAAGCTTTTCCCAATTTAAGTAATAGGTCCTTGTTTTGAAACCAAGCGG